TTTCAAAGAATTTGATTTGATTTTTTTTTTCCTCCGATTTTTGGCTCGGCTCGCTCTGCTCGCACGTCTTTGTCGCTACTTCATCATACCAGCCTTGCCTATCTTGAGCATAGTAAAATGGATAAGTAATTGGGTTTGAGTCTTCTATCAAATATAATTAATAGAATCAGGTGTTACTTTGCGGAAATCCATTGTATAAAAGCTTTTAGAAAAATTTACTTCGCAAATATCCGCGTTATAAAATAAAATGATGTATCTTACCTAGTACGAAGAGCACCTCCCGCCATCCCTCAATTGCGTGCACTATCCCCGTCACCATTAATCCCAGCACCGTTACTTCCAACACCACTACACTAGGCAAGACACACCACTGACGATAATACGACACGTGTTTCGCCTCTACACGAGGCATCCTCAGGTGATATAGACTCTACAGTGGCTAACCGCTAAGACTTAGCGGGTAGCCACCGTAGAGGTGTTGGAAGTAGCGGTGCTGGAAGTAAGTAAGAAGTGTAGTGGTGTTGGAAGTAGCGGTGCTGGGATTAATGGTGACGAGAATAGTGTACGCAATTGAGGGAGGGCGGGAGGTGCTCTTCATACTAGGTAAGACACATCATTTTATTTTATAACGCGGATATTTGCGAAGTAAATTTTTCTAAAAACTTTTATCTTCTATCAAATTCTGAAAGCCAGATATAAAATTACTACCCATGAATTTAAAATCAATTAAAAATAATAAAAACTAAAAGTAACTTACCTCACGTATATTTTCTAAGCTATCCAAAACAGGACTGTAAGATGGTGTATGTGGCATGTTTCTGAAAAACAAAAATGAGTATAAGTTACATATTTTATTACATTTATAAGAGTTAGTATTACAATAGAAAATAGAATAAGTTACTTTATTATTTAAATATTTCATTTAAAGTACTTACTCCAAATTTCAGCTAAAGAAACAAACGTGCTCTTTATAGAAAGTACTGTAGCGAAATGACGTGATCGCGTGTTGTAAGATGAGAATGGTATAATTTACAGAATAAGGGTAATGTACTCAGGATTTGTAAGATCAGAATAGCATTATTTTGCAAATTAAGCATAGATTTACTAAGAAATTTGTAACACGAGAATAGGAGAACATTTAGCAGAACAGACATAATGTGACATGCATTTCTCTCTAATATTGTTCATGCAAAATTTAAATATATACCTATGTTTGTAGGTTAGTAACTCATTCAATAAGCACGATGAACTTGATCAAACAACCCATATCGCTAAGCGTTAGCAATATTAATATTGATCACTCTGCTCACAAGATCAGACATAGCATTCTCTTACCAAATACCATTCGCTGTATAATATGCGGTCCCTCTAATTGCGGTAAAACAAACGTTGTAATAAGTTTATTGTTGCATGAAAATGGGCTTAAATTTCAAAATCTTTACTTGTATTCAAAATCTAACTATCAACCAAAATATCGTTTTTTACGAGAAGTAATTAAGAGAGTACCTAATATTTCATTTTATGAGTTCAATGATAACAAAGACGTTATAGGTCCAAGTGAAGCTTTAAACAATTCTGTATTTATTTTTGATGATGTTGCTTATGAAAATCAAATCAACATTCGTAATTATTTTTCTATGGGCAGGCATAAGCAAATCGATTGCTTTTATTTATCTCAGAATAAAATAAAATAAATGAAAAATAATGAGCATGAACTGAACTCATCCCTAGATAAAATGTTAAAACCTGTTACAGAGCCCCTTAAAATCATAGTAAATAAGCAAAAACCAAATCAAGACCATAATTTATCGATGCAAACATGCGCAAGTTCTGTTGGATCATTTGTATCGGAATTTCAAAACTATTACGATGCTGACTTGAGTTCTGCAGAATCCCCAAAAAATGAAATTAAAGACAATTTAGAGGCTTCATTTGATCGGATTTATATATCTATGATATTTACGATGATATATTAAATATACCATTTGGGATAAGAAAATAAAAGAAAACTTACATGATGGGAAATTCAGAAGTTACTTTTTCTAAAATTTACAGTTTGGATAACGAAACTGTATTTTTAGTAAAAATTGGAGACAAATCTTACAATTTAACTATTGGGTTAAGAGAACTTCTACTTAGAAAAAAATCTGATTTGAATTTAGTATCAAGCGCTAATAAACTCGTGTACAAAGATATTCTACACCATACTAACGCTCATAAGAGAAATTTTAACCCTAGAGGTCAAATAAGAGGTGATAAGGGAATTAAATATCGAAAAATAATTAAACCATTATTTTCCAAGACCTTAATCAAATATAAAAAAATCAAAGAAAAGCTTGGAGGTAATTTACCTAAGCTTAGGTAGAAATATAAAATCAACACTGATATTGTATATTGGGACGTACAAACTTCAATACTTCAATTGAAAGTTATGAAGTCCATTCTTATAATCCATATAATAATAGCTTTAGAGAAAACGATGAAATAAGAATTCCCATACATCAAATAAGAATTACCATACATGTATTACCATCAGCCAGTTCAATTTACATCGAAGGTCGTGCAAAGCTCTTCAGCAAAGATGGAAACCAGATTAAAAAATCTGTTACGTTCAGTAATAATCCTATTATGTACTTGTTTCAAGACATAAGGTATGAGATAAATGGAATAGAAATAGATCGTATTAAAAATGCTGGTATAACGTCAACAATTAAATCATACATTTCAATGAATGAAACAGAAAATAAAGTAGCAGCTTTGTTGGGTTGGGATATGGATGGATTTAAAAGTGAAAACGGTGATTTTAGTGCTACTGTACCTTTAAATAAGATTTTAGGGTTTGCAGAAGATTATGCTAAAATTGTAATAAATTGTAAACACGAACTTATACTGAACAGAAGTAATTCTAACATAAATAGTATTATAGGAACTGAGGATGTTGCACATTTTCAAATAGACATACAAAGAATACAATGGCGAGTGCTACGTGTGAAAGTATCAGATCGTGAACGACTGAAATTTCTTAAACATTTAGAAAGAGATAAACCTATACAGATGGCATTTAGAAATTGGGATTTATATGAATACCCTTTACTTCCTACAGCAACTAAGCATTCCCGGTCTATTACGACTGCGTCACAATTAGAGAAACCTCGATATGTAATTTTTTGTTTACAAACAAACAATAAAAATCAAAAAATGAAAGACTGTTCAGTATTTGATCACTGTGGAGTGAGAAATGTGACATTGTTTTTGAATTCACAATATTACCCATACGAGCCCTTATGTTTAAAGTTTTCCGAAAACAAATTTAATATATTATACGAAATGTATGTGAAATTTCGCTAGTCGTACTACAACTGTCCCGCAGACCCATTGCTTGATTTAATTAGCTTTAAGGAGAAGGCTCCGCTATTTGTGATAGATTGTTCAAGACAAAACGACAGTTTAAAAACGGGACCCGTAGATGTTCGTTTGGAGATTGAATGTACAACGGCAATACCAGAGAAGACAACTGGATATTGTTTCATCATTAACGATCAACTTGTGGAATATAAGCCTTTAAGTAACATAGTGCGCAAGTTGACATGACTGCTATCGTAGCTGTCCAAGGTTTCAAAACAGAAAGAAATGAATTCATAGTGAAAGAAATTGCAATATTGTGTAACAATAAAATACGACGACTTTTAATTAAACCACCATTTCCTTTTTACAAATTGACTGTAAAAGAAAAGAAACATGTAAATTGGATTCAACGTAATAGAAAGATATATTGATGTGAAGGAGTAACACCTTATTTAAATTCTCAGAATTTTATTGCAGATAATATAAAGGATATATGTATATACGCCAAAGGTTTAGAAAAAGTTTTATGGTTAAAATTCATCTTACAAAATGAAAATATAATTAATTTAGAAGATAAAGGTAGTTTGTTAAATCTGTATGATCGATATAAAGATTGTAAAGATTTGTATAGTTGTATTAATTATGACTCAGTATGTGCTTTGAAAAATGTTTTTTGTTTAAATAAATGGTGCTCTGATAATAACATTTGAAATATTCTTTATTTTATTTCATAAAAAAACTCTCCACCAGCAACTTTTTTAAAATGTTTACAAGGAATCAGCGCAGCTTTGCAGCTTCATTATACTCTTGCAACCAGCAAGATCAAACCTCCACAAAGCATGAGGGACATGTCTCAAAACGAATACAGACCCCGATATAGTTTATATCATTCATATAAAACACGCTTATTTTCATTTAGCCATTATTGGTCAACGAGTGATTTAAGAGAAGCAGTGGTAAATGAAATGGCTGATGCGGGATTCTTTTATTTTGGCGATAGCATAAATGATACAGCTGCTTGTTTTTCCTGTAGAGGAGTTATTAGAGATTGGGAGATTTACGATGATCTGTGGATGCAACACACATTACATTATCCTCAATGTTTTTATGTGAACGCCGTGAAAGGGTTAGATTATATAAATAAATGTTTGCAAGAGTATGTAAATCACTGTGAGTTAAAAGTGATACAGAATTGAGAAGACATCTGCTTAGTTAAAAAAGTGGAAATGTAGAGCTGTTTAGTGTAATATTGGGGCGGGCTGCATCGCGAACGGATGTGAGTGATGCAGCAGCCCCAATATTACCCTATTTACGTTAGGTTACATAAACGGTTGAATTAAAAATTATCTACGGTTTTGAAGTCGCCTAAAAATTAAAAGTTATCAACTACCTAGGAGATACAATAATGCCACACATTGTACCAGTTATGTACAAAGACACTCATCCTGCTAAGACAAGTTAGAAAGTTACGTCGAGACACGAATACTTTCACAACACAACCAGACTCAAACAAAGAAACAAATTGTGTTAAGGGAACTACAATAAAAAAATAAAAAATACAAATAAAATCATAATGAAATTTTTTTTTAAATAAATACATGCTCACCGAAAAAATAAATTAAATTATTGCACTGTAAAATATAGTTGAAGAGAATTCATTTTAATTGAAATCCAAAAATGAAGTTGCCTGGTGCAATGGCATCTTCACTTGTGAAGTACTCCTTCCACAGCTCCTGGAAATCTGCCAAAGAAATGCTGGCCTTGCCTTTAGACAATTTTTGGAAAGAATCTTCAGCTTCATTTTTATTGACTCCCAAGGCTTCGTGTACTTTAACGAATTCTTCTCTATTAATCAAGCCGTCATTTCCAGTATCTAGAAGTTGGAAAGTGAATTTGCAATACAAGTTTTGCCAATCATGGGCACTTGATGGGTTTTTAGCATAAGAGTCCCACAATGCAACCCATTCGTCGACGGTTACGTGTCCGTCTTTGTTCAAGTCAGCTTGGCTTTGCAACCCATCCCAGATCTTCAACATTGTGTTGAGGTACTCTTTTTGTTTGGCTTCATCAACCTTACACTGCTTCGCCAGCATCTCTGCTGACTTCTCAACGTCTTTCTTTTCAATCGTCCCACTTGCATCGCTATCAAACGTTTTGAATACCTCAAGATACTTCCTTCTTCGAAATTCTGAAACCATTTTCGTTGCGCTCTAGTCTAGTGTGTAACGGCGATGCATCTGAAGGTTTTTATATCGTTTTTGAAACTATCTATTAAGATAAAATATTATCTACCATTTTGTAAATCGCAGTCGTGAATGATATTATCATATCATACGATATTATATCTGTGGATTTCTCTAATTATGCAACTGTTTTTTTTTTTAATAGGAGAGGGAGCTAACGGGCATGTGGCTCATATGATGTTAAATGACCGCTACCGCCCATGAACAACTGCAACTGATTTCACAAAGAAGTTGTGTATTCACTGCCATTTGCTGGCTTGAGTTGTAAGAATTCTAGTTTTGTTACTGTTTGACTGTGAGGCAACTCATATTAGTCGCCAAGATTGAGCACGCATCGGTGCTATTCTTTGTTTGAAGTTGGTTGCTAGTGTCAACTGGCTGCTGTTACCAATAACATCAAGTGAAACTGTTGTTTCTTTAATAGGTAAACGATAAGATCTTAGACGTAATATTTTATCAATTTGCATATTTTCTGCATTATTAGTAGTGGCAAATACTTTAATAAGAATGCATCGCATCGTAACCGCATTGTTGACGAATTAGAATTGAAAAGGTTGATAAGATAATATTATATAATCAATCAAATAATCTTTCCTGATAGACCGCAAATACTAAGTATTGCGCAAATTGTAAGATAACCATCTCTAGGATAAATTATGACACTTGTTAAACGTTTAATACATTTTTAATATTTTGTTCTAAAATAAATGGGACTTGGCCTGTGACGAGTTTTAAATGAAAATTTGCATCTTTTACCCAACTAACATAGCAGAAGGGAAAACATGCAATTTTTCCACCATCCATTACCCGATATCGTCCTGTGAGTTTTATAAGAGGTGACATAGGCAAACTGACACAGTAGATGGGCAGCAGCATGTTCCTGATAACAGCTCAATAGAAAACTGTGGTTATCAATTTATCTGCCAGGCTTGGCAACTATGACAAATATCCATATATGAAGCTATCAATGGGGGAGGCCTTTTTTACATAAGGAAATACCTACGCATACCCGCCTAGCTAGGGCAAGGATGGGTTATGTCGGACGCGCACTGAAGATGACTCCTCCCTTTTTGCTTCCCAGGTAAGGCGCATCATAAACACAAGGCGCACCTTCCTCCGCGGCTTCGAATCCCCCCCCCCCCCCCCGTTATTAGGATGACGCTGCTGCTAATCTCCTGATTTATTTCCCTCTGTCGCTTTTTACGACACCCACGGTATGATATAGGGTAGTGCATATCCTTACACCGCGGGCGCAAAAAAAAAAAAAAAAAAACTTACACCGCCACTACACCGTACGGTACGGTACACTACACAGTGAAGCTATCCGTATCAAAATTATTAGGTGTACAAAATTACGAGTGTGTACGTATAATAGCTTTAGAGTTAAAACACTAAAGCTATTTGACGTATAGACAATATACGTCTTAGCTTTAGTATAAAGCTATATAGTATAGTATTAAGCTGTTTGACGTATATACGAGCTATTTCGAACCCCCTAAAAGGGGTTTGAAAGTGGCTTGAAATAGCTCGTGTACATATACGCACTGTCGGAGTATCTTCTCTTTTTTTAATGAAATATTGTTTTTCGAACTTGCCTGACACAACATTGTGTTTCGATTTGCTGACTCTATTGTTTGACGTTCTTTTGTAAGAAATATTCTATGAAAAGAACATTCATTTTCTTTATTTCTAAAATACTTAATATCGTAAATGCTGGACACCCACACATGTGCGTATATCAGCTAAACCAGTGTAGAAATATATGTATATAATGTTTATTTAGGTGGAATAATATTTTTACATCACATAGTTTATAATTGTTAATTGGGTAGTGACTTAAGCTGCTTTTCATCTGAAGAGTATACCGTATTCCATCGTAAAAGATCTTGTTGCAATTTGGTTGACCTTGTTGCACCGAAGTTATGGTTTGGTGTAATACCACGTAGGTAGGAGATGACTAGCGTTAACATTGTGACAGACGCAGGAAAAACCTCTTTTTATTACACAGACAGTTACGTGGTAGAGCCATGCTGCAGTTATATTAATAGTATAGTTGTAGCACGAATGGGTCGGCTCGACCGGGGAAGGAACACGCTCTCACAGAATACCAGCGTAAAATAGCAGCTTAATGCTGCTGTGTTTCATATGGTAGGTGTAGAGAACCGGAGACCCTTTTTACTGGAAAAGAGGCATTCCATCTTAGTCCTCACGGATGACGACGCATCTGCATTTTAATTCGCAAACGATGATAGATGTAGATGTCTGTGGACCACATCAACCACTTATCATCAAGTGGGCTGGGTGCTCGTTTGTCACAATTATTTTATAAAAAAACCACAACAAACAAATTTACAGTCCACCTGACGGTAAGTGGTAACCAAGGACATCTGCAACCAAAATCGACAGACGTGTTTTCACCTGTAAGAATGCCTCACAGCCTGTAATTAGACTGGCCCTATACCCTTCAGAACACAACGGTGCACGAACTGCTGCCCGGTGACGGAAATAGGTAAGAGGATGGTACATACCCAAATAAACTCCTAGATTAGGAATAAAAGTCGTTCCTACTAGCTTTTTTTTATTTCTACTAAGCCAGCGCTTATCTACGATCCCACCTAATGGTAAGTGGTGATGTAGCCTAAGATGGTGAAGCGCAATGACTTAACAATAGCCTATTCACTCTTGCCTTAAAGACACCCACACTGTAATCGGATGGAAAGACAGATGCTGGAAACTTATTCCCCTCCTTTGCTGTACGCATGATGAACGACGTGGCGAACCGTTTGGTTCGATTGCGTTGTAAGTCAACAACGAAGGGGTGGAGACTGGCCGAACGTCTGGTTGTCTGATGGTGGAAGGGAGAGGGGGGAATTAAATTATGCAATTCAAGTGCACACTCTCCGAAATGCATCCTGTAGAAAACCGAAAGGCTGGCTACTTTACGTCTGTGTTCGAGGCTGGTAAGATTGGTTTTAACTAAATTTGGGTCACCAATAAACCTCTTAGCACGCCTTTCCATTGAGTCCAAAGCTGCTAGGTGGCATTTTGCAGCACCAGCCCATATATGGCAGCAATACTCCATGCACGACCGGACTTGCGCTTTGTATAAAGTAAGCAGCTGTCCAGGCGTGAAGTATCGCCGCACCTTTGCAAGGACTCCCAGTTTCCTTGCAGCTGCTTTGGTCTTGGACTCAATGAATCGCCCGAAGTTCAAATTTGAGGATATTTCAAGCCCTAACAACTGAAGGCGGTCGGTATATTCCAGTGATACATTTCGGAAAAAAGGAGCCAAGGTGAGCTGACTCCTTTTTGCAGTGAAGAGACACGCTTGTGTTTTGGAAGCGTTGAACTTCACTAGATTGGCATCGCCCCATTCGGAGACTGCCTGTAGTGTGAGATTCACAGGCTCTACCATAGCTTCTCTTTCGGACTAGATTTGATCCCGAATGAGCCGAGGACTTGGTTGGTATCTCTCAACAACTGTGCTATCGTCTGCATACCCACAGATATCGGGCATAAACAGATCATTAATGTGCAGCAGGAAGAGAGTTGCGAAGAGAACGGACCCCTGAGGATCACCGGCGTTAGTCGCCATAGGAGCGGATGATCAGCCATCGAAGACGACCCGGAGAGACCGTGCACTCAGAAAGTCTTTTACCCATTCAATCAGACCAGGGGATAAGCCGTATGCTGGAAGCTTACCCAAAAGGCTAGTGTGCCAAACTCTGTCAGACTTTCGAGACATCAAGGGAAACAGCAAGTGCTTTCCCACTGTTCTCGAGTGCCTCGCCCCATACGTGTGTGGCATACGCTAGAAGGGGGACCTTATTAAGCTGACCGATTTCGGCTAAACCCATATTGCCGGTCACTAAGGAGGTCATTCTGTTCTAGGTACGAGTATGCCATTAATTCAATGGAAGCTCCATAATCTTGCAGAGTACGGAGGTAATTGAGATTGGCCGATAATTGGCAAGGTTAGCACGGCTGCCTTTTTTCTGGAACAGGCTGCACGTTGGTCAACTTACAGGATTTTGGCACTATTCCAGTCCTAAATGAGAGGCGGAACAAGCGTGTCAATACAGGAGACAACTCAGGTGCACAAGCCTTTAGAACTATAGCTGGTATACCATCTGGTATTATTCACTAGCTTTATTCACGTCTAGACACCGCAAGGTTTTAAGGACCTCCTTATTTGTTATAAATATATAGAATCTCCGATATAGAGGTCCCGCAGTGAAGTAATTTTGGTGGAACATTGTTGCCACTGTCCAGACGTGAATTGTAGGCAAAGAGAGGCGCGAACAAGTCCGCTTTCTCCTTAGCTGTATGCGCCAGTGTGCCATCCGGTTTTACCAACGGAGGCAATGTAGACCGACAGAAGTTTGTCTCGACCACTTTGGCGAGAGACCAAAAAGCTCTATTGCCAGATGGTCTGGCAGAGAGTTTTCCGCCAATATGTTTAATAGCCTAGCTTTCCGTAATGGTTTTTTTTAGGACTTGGCGGTCTTTTTTTATAGAAGAGGGGGCAAACGAGCATGCGGCTCACCTGATGGTAAGTGACTACCGCCGACCATGAACAACCGCAACACCAGGGGAATTGCAGATGCGTTGCCGGCCTTTTAGAAAAGTGTAAGCTCTTTTCTCGAAGGTTCCTAAGTCGTATCGGTCCAGAAAATTCGCTGGTTGTAATTCCACAAGGAAGTTGTGCGAGGGAGAAAACTTCTTCTAAATCGCACAGTGGTGGACCGCCAATCATCCAGATTGTATGGATGGTAACGCGAGTTTTGTCGCGATGTGCGATGGTGAAATTGAGCGGCTGGAATTAGTCCGAACAATTCCTCAGAGCACTCCCCGTGATAGATGCGATAAAATACGCAAAGAGATGCAACATCTCTACGCAATGCCAGTGTATCGAGCCGATCAGAAAGAAATCGGTCGTCGACGATACGAACCGC